TTATTTCGAACGGTATACCGAATTGTAAAAAATCCCTTTATTATCCATTTTAGTGCCGGATCTTGTTAACTATTCTTCCAATCATTTTTTTTATTTCGAACGGTATACCGAACTGTATAAAATCCCTTTATTATCCATTTTAGTGCCGGATCTTGTTAACTATTCTTCCAATCATTTTTTTTATTTCGAACGGTATACCGAATTGTATAAAATCCCTTTATTATCCATTTTAGTGCCGGATCTTGTTAACTATTCTTCCAATCATTTTTTTATTTCGAACGGTATACCGAATTGTATAAAATCCCTTTATTATCCATTTTAGTGCCGGATCTTGTTAACTATTCTTCCAATCATTTTTTTTATTTCGAACAGTATACCGAACTGTATAAAATCCCTTTATTATCCATTTTAGTGCCGGATCTTGTTAACTATTCTTCCAATCATTTTTTTATTTCGAACGGTATACCGTACTGTATAAAATCCCTTTATTATCCATTTTAGTGCCGGATCTTGTTAACTATTCTTCCAATCATTTTTTTTATTTCGAACAGTATACCGAACTGTATAAAATCCCTTTATTATCCATTTTAGTGCCGGATCTTGTTAACTATTCTTCCAATCATTTTTTTATTTCGAACAGTATACCGAACTGTATAAAATCCCTTTATTATCCATTTTAGTGCCGGATCTTGTTAACTATTCTTCCAATCATTTTTTTTATTTCGAACAGTATACCGAACTGTATAAAATCCCTTTATTATCCATTTTAGTGCCGGATCTTGTTAACTATTCTTCCAATCATTTTTTTTATTTCGAACAGTATACCGAACTGTATAAAATCCCTTTATTATCCATTTTAGTGCCGGATCTTGTTAACTATTCTTCCAATCATTTTTTTTTATTTCGAACGGTATACCGAACTGTATAAAATCCCTTTATTATCCATTTTAGTGCCGGATCTTGTTAACTATTCTTCCAATCATTTTTTTTATTTCGAACAGTATACCGAACTGTATAAAATCCCTTTATTATCCATTTTAGTGCCGGATCTTGTTAACTATTCTTCCAATCATTTTTTTATTTCGAACGGTATACCGTACTGTATAAAATCCCTTTATTATCCATTTTAGTGCCGGATCTTGTTAACTATTCTTCCAATCATTTTTTTTATTTCGAACGGTATACCGAATTGTATAAAATCCCTTTATTATCCATTTTAGTGCCGGATCTTGTTAACTATTCTTCCAATCATTTTTTTTATTTCGAACGGTATACCGAACTGTATAAAATCCCTTTATTATCCATTTTAGTGCCGGATCTTGTTAACTATTCTTCCAATCATTTTTTTATTTCGAACGGTATACCGAATTGTATAAAATCCCTTTATTATCCATTTTAGTGCCGGATCTTGTTAACTATTCTTCCAATCATTTTTTTTATTTCGAACAGTATACCGAACTGTATAAAATCCCTTTATTATCCATTTTAGTGCCGGATCTTGTTAACTATTCTTCCAATCATTTTTTTATTTCGAACGGTATACCGTACTGTATAAAATCCCTTTATTATCCATTTTAGTGCCGGATCTTGTTAACTATTCTTCCAATCATTTTTTTTATTTCGAACAGTATACCGAACTGTATAAAATCCCTTTATTATCCATTTTAGTGCCGGATCTTGTTAACTATTCTTCCAATCATTTTTTTATTTCGAACGGTATACCGTACTGTATAAAATCCCTTTATTATCCATTTTAGTGCCGGATCTTGTTAACTATTCTTCCAATCATTTTTTTTATTTCGAACGGTATACCGAACTGTATAAAATCCCTTTATTATCCATTTTAGTGCCGGATCTTGTTAACTATTCTTCCAATCATTTTTTTTATTTCGAACGGTATACCGAACTGTATAAAATCCCTTTATTATCCATTTTAGTGCCGGATCTTGTTAACTATTCTTCCAATCATTTTTTTTATTTCGAACGGTATACCGAACTGTATAAAATCCCTTTATTATCCATTTTAGTGCCGGATCTTGTTAACTATTCTTCCAATCATTTTTTTTATTTCGAACGGTATACCGAACTGTATAAAATCCCTTTATTATCCATTTTAGTGCCGGATCTTGTTAACTATTCTTCCAATCATTTTTTTTATTTCGAACGGTATACCGAACTGTATAAAATCCCTTTATTATCCATTTTAGTGCCGGATCTTGTTAACTATTCTTCCAATCTTTTTTTTTATTTCGAACGGTATACCGAACTGTATAAAATCCCTTTATTATCCATTTTAGTGCCGGATCTTGTTAACTATTCTTCCAATCATTTTTTTTATTTCGAACGGTATACCGAACTGTATAAAATCCCTTTATTATCCATTTTAGTGCCGGATCTTGTTAACTATTCTTCCAATCATTTTTTTTATTTCGAACGGTATACCGAACTGTATAAAATCCCTTTATTATCCATTTTAGTGCCGGATCTTGTTAACTATTCTTCCAATCATTTTTTTTATTTCGAACGGTATACCGAATTGTATAAAATCCCTTTATTATCCATTTTAGTGCCGGATCTTGTTAACTATTCTTCCAATCATTTTTTTATTTCGAACGGTATACCGAACTGTATAAAATCCCTTTATTATCCATTTTAGTGCCGGATCTTGTTAACTATTCTTCCAATCATTTTTTTTATTTCGAACAGTATACCGAACTGTATAAAATCCCTTTATTATCCATTTTAGTGCCGGATCTTGTTAACTATTCTTCCAATCATTTTTTTATTTCGAACAGTATACCGAACTGTATAAAATCCCTTTATTATCCATTTTAGTGCCGGATCTTGTTAACTATTCTTCCAATCATTTTTTTTATTTCGAACAGTATACCGAACTGTATAAAATCCCTTTATTATCCATTTTAGTGCCGGATCTTGTTAACTATTCTTCCAATCATTTTTTTATTTCGAACAGTATACCGAACTGTATAAAATCCCTTTATTATCCATTTTAGTGCCGGATCTTGTTAACTATTTATCTCCCCCCTTCCATATAAAGAAAGAATCGAACAGTTAAGAATATACAAATTGTTCAAGGATCAAATACATGATATACAAATGTTAACTTGATCCTAATTGGTTTACATACAATCGATTTTTTTACTAGTATAAAATCTGTACAAAAAGCAATTATAATCGATTGCAATCTTAGTTTTGCCAATGTGGGAACAGCAATTCAAGCAGAACATTTTCCACGAACTAATGTGCTGTGTGTGTGTAATAATACTGATCACTAAGTCTTCAAATTGAGAAAACCCACCATTTTCAGTGGGTTCGGAAAAAGAGTCTAAACTCAAGTTGACCCCAAGCCCGGAATTCTTTAGTAAAAGGCGAAAGAATTTCACGATTAGGATCGGAGTCTAGAGTGATTTGTAAAGAAATTCACATTAATGTGAAATAAATATTTTTTGAAAATACAAAAACACAACAACTGGTCTTTTCAAATTTTACTTTTGAAAAATTAAAAATAATTTTTGTTTCTAATTTTCTTTTACATCACGGTGTTAAGATATACTTAAAAGAAAACATCAATGAAACTCTAATAGGACGAAAAGATATTTCAATTTGAATAATTTACAGATAATCTGACGCATTTATTTGTCAAATTTCACGTTGACATATTTCAAACAATTAAAAAACTCCGCAGCTCAAAACGTTTAGCGCAAGAACTGTCGCATTTCGAGATCAGATGTTTTCAGAACACCACTAAGATCAAGTTAACCCACCCTCTTAAGTTAACCTCCCCCCTTCCTCCTCTATAGCTAGACCAAGCTAAAATCTTTGTCCCCAATAGTTAAATTCTCCAAGGATGTTAACTTGGTCTCACTACTACATTAAGGATGCTATGGAATAATAGTCAACAAGGAACCCCATAATACCTCACAATTACAATAGGTCACAAGCGCATCAGACGCAGAGGAACTTCGGAAAAGTCTGACAAGTTTCTGTGGGATTTTTAGCGAGTTATATTGAACCGGAGCTCTATAACACGATACCCTCTTTGTAAAAGGAGGGAGATAGATTCGGGATCTCTTTTACTAACACCCCTTTTGGTACCTATTAAGAAGATGGTTAAATAGATTCCCTATTAACGAACTGCCACCACTATAAGAACTGGCTTTTTCTAGTTTCTCCTCACCCTGCTCGTAAATTTATCCTGGTCCAAAAAATCAAAGGGGGGACTGAAAAAGAGCCTAAGAACTAGATCAACGGTTAAGCATTTGTGAATTTGTACCGGTCCAAGTTAACATCCTCCATCCAAATGCGTTTAGGGGAGAGGATGTTAACTTGGTTCTGAGTTCGATTTTGCAGCCAATCAGAATAGAGCATTTTACATTCAGCGCGTCGTAGCAAATTTAATTTAAAATGAACGCTGGGGTGGAGGATCATAACTTGGTGGTCTATCTTGAAGTCTATCTGGGGGGGGGGGGGGGGGGGATGTCAACTTGATCTTTTGTACCTAGTAACGAATCTCCCCTTTTACAAAAGGGGATGTAGTTAAAGAGATCCGATCCGAGATTCCTTACTAAGATATGCTTTAAGGTTGTTTTAATTCTTTATAGGGGGTGGCAATACGTTACCCTATCCTTCCATATGGTATGCACTCAGGGGTTGATTTATGTCATAAAATAATAGCCTTTCCCTTTGGTATTATTTTATGACATCGTCCATTTTCGGCTGACCAACCCTAATTTTTCTAAAATGGGGAAATATTTCGGCGCCAAAATATACTAATTTTGATGGGAAAAGCGCGCGGGAAAAACGCAATTTTTTTACCTGTTTTTTTTTAATTTGGCTGCGGAGCTCTACAGCTTTCTGTTGAGAATTCTAATTTTGCTGCGTTTTGATTGGTCAAAAATCGGCTAACTTAATCTACTTAACAATCTCCCTCCTTTCCTCGAGGGGGGGAGGGGATTGTTAAGTAGATCCGTTGAACCTACTGGGAGTGAGGTTGCCGAGGAATGGGAAGCGGACATCTGGACCCACTTGCAGTGTTCTCACTCCGCCGTCCAGAGACACCAGATACCCTCCGATGGCCACTTTGGGGTGAGTCTCAATCAGGGACCACGTGAGCATCACCTGATAATGTCTTCATATATAGCCAGTAAAAAAGAGGGGTATTTTTTGTTTAAGGCCCAAAACTGATCTTCCCGGGTTGACCAAGTTTCAGTCATCTTGAACCTGTGCTGCCCAGCTTCAGTCATATTTCCTAGATGTTGAAGATTTATGAAAGATAGCAAAGAAACTTTAAAACACATCCGGCTTTTTCCAAGATACCTAACCGCCCAAACTACAGGAATATAACCTGAGAAACATGCAAGATGGCTCCGGCAGCTCAACAGAGGAATTCGATTTTCGATGCAATTTTGAAAAGATTTTCAAAACTATTCAAGATTTTTTTCAAGAATCTTCAAGATTTTTCAAAGAATCTTCAAGATATTTAAAGATACCCAAGAAAAATTTCTTATCTTTCTTTCTATAAAATTTCATTAATTAATGAGCGAACACATAGACAACAAATTCGGACTTTGTTTCAAGAAAATTAGCGCCAGTGTTTTGTGATCTTTCTGACCTGAAGGGGATCTAGGTCGCTGATTCGGATGTCTGGCTTGGAGGGCCTTCCGATGGTGATGAAGAACTTGTTCACACTCCTGACTCTCTCGTTGAACACCATGCCATTGGCTGACACCTCGTAGATTGCCACCACGCGGAACCTATCAAAACAGAACAGAGATAATAACTGATCAAATTACATGAAACAAGGCTGATTTAAAATATTCGGACAAAACGAAAAAACTTGAATTTTTGAAAGCGTTTTTCTCAATTTGGGTTTAAAATTAGACAAAAAGTGAAGAGAACAAAAGCTACTTAGAATTTTACCAGAAATAAAATGCTGCAATTTTTTCTACGAAACTCTCAACCAAAAGTTTATCCCAAAAATGGGCCCTTTTGGCTTTTTTAATTAACCAATGATTACGCTGAAATAATCTCGTTAGTAAATGATGAAATTATATCACAAGAAGCTTCTTACATATCCCAACAAAGTTCTAGAAAAGTTAAATCTCCAAAAATTTGCGCAAACTGTGTAAAATTTGTTTTTCAGCTAAAATTTTGTTTTCATTTATAGCAAAAATCACACTTCATGACTATCAAACAAAAATATTGGATTTTATATAATAAAAACACATTTCTTGACTTTCAAGCAAAACTATTTTCTCTTATACAGGTTTTGGAGATTTAACTTTTCTAGAACTTTGTTGGGATGTGAAGGAGGCTTCTTTATGACATAGTTTCGCATCTATTAACAGAGTAGTTTCAGCGTAATTTTTGATTAATCCAAAAAGCCAAAACTATCCATTTTGGGGTAAAATTTTGGTTGAGAATTTCGGAGAAAAAATTGCAGCATATTAATTCTGGTGAAATTCTAAGCAACTTTTGTTTTGTTCATTTTTTGTCTAATCATAACCCTGTTTTTTTTCAAAATTTTGTCAAAATTTGGTCAAAGTGGGGTCTTAATAGTGATTTACGAGAGTTCAGAAAATCAATTGGTCGATCTAAAAAAATGTCGACAAAATTTTTGAAGTTTTTTGAAAGTCCCCCCCCCCCCCCCTCGAGAAAATCATAGATCCGCCCCTGCAATTGGAGAAAAACGCATTTGAAATTTCAAATTTTGTTCATTTTGTCCGGTTACTTTAAATCATCAGCACTGTTTTGTCACATTATAATATTTTTTATTGTTTACAGGGCCATGACCGTGACCAACCTCATCACTTTGATCAATTTTTGATATGTACAAACAGGAAAAATTTGACTAAAAACTTTCTCAAAAAATGATTGACCAGCATCATAACTAAAAAAATTCAACATGCACTTAAACCAATTTCCCTAGTTTCGTCTGCAAGAATACGTGGAAATTTTCCATGACTTTTTATCGAATCACATTTATTGTTTTATTGTTTCATAATTTGTCATCCCGGATAATATTTCTGTTCGGCAGCTCAGAAATCTAAGCTGGATCTCAAATCAACCCTCGCATGTCTCTTGACTCACTTGTACTTGTCGCCCGAGTTGAGACAGGTGAGAGTCGCGGTGTTGTCTTCTCCCGGGAAGGTCCACAGGTGCTGGTAGATCTGGATCTTGCCACTGTCGTCAAACGTCGAGGCACTACAAAAAAACAACGTCGAGGCACTACAAAAAAACTTCTTGGGTAACTGTGTTAACTAATGTGATTTGAAAGAACACTGGCTAAATCTTCTGCTGATTGTTCACCCGTTATTTGTTAGATAATTTTTTGTTGTTACAGTTTGGACAAGTAAAATAATGTTCAGTTAAAGCAACAATTAATTTGAAACAAGAATGAATATCCGATGTGAAACAAGGAAATCTTCCACTTTAGTTGTTTCGCTTCAAGTTCTTTTTAAGAGCAAGGCGTTCATGTAATTAAAATGAATCAGAAGTATTCTGACCTCCTCTCCGAGTCACAGTCGGGTGCGAAGTAAGTGCCCGTCACGTACAACTCATACTCAGTCAGCCTAAAACATCATCAGAGAAGAAGTTAATTATTGAAGAAGTGAACAAGGACAGCCGGTTTCTGTGCAGATAATTAAGAATGTATACTGACTTAAGAAAAGAAACACAAAAAAGAAAAAACTTGAAAAGAAGAGAAAAAAAATTGAAATATATACTTTTTTCCTTTTTAATTCATCTTTTTTTTCTAGAAAGCAAGATTGAATGTGTTAAGATAGCTGAATCAACGTTAAAATTGTAATGGCACCAGCAGATTTAGGGGGGGGGGCAGAAAATCCGCCGCCCCGCCTTCAACTTTGGAGATCAACCTATAAGCCAGTTGTCTGTTTTATCTGGAAACCCAATTAAATCTGACCACAATTATTGCTGCGAAAAAAAAACAGTTTCATATAAAAAACAAGGATAGCCGATTACTGAGCAAGTACCACAGAATGTTACATAAGAAAGATTTTTTTTTTTCAAATTAATGTCGTTTTTGTTCTGCGTGGTGAGATAAAAGGTTCTTCACGAAAGCCTTGAACTTAAGCATACTCGGTACTCATAGTAAAACAGGCATATTGGACAACAGTGTGAGTAAAAAAAATTGACTAGAAGGACAAAAAAATCACTTTTTTGCACAAAAAGTTGAATTTTTGAAGTGTTTGATTACCAAAATTGCTTTCTAAAACTCCAAAAGCTAACTTTATTAGAATAAAAAGAAAACTTCACGGCTTAAGTTCATCATAATTAAACCTTTGTAAGCCTGCTCGATCGCTTTATTTGCTCGAAGTTGGAAAAATATATTATTTTCGATACTGGGACAACTTTTTGAAAATTTTCAGATTTCATTTGAATCACGACGTCAATATGACATGTCACTCGTATCATTCCGATGTGAATAACGCTGATTCGATACCTGAATAAAGACTTCCAGAAAATGCAACTTGATTAGAGCATAGATTTAGATAATATCCGAAGGTGTCAAACACTCCGAAGGCCAAACACCTGCCAAAGATGTCTAGCATTGAGAAGAATGAAATGATTGACAAAAGGAACTATCAAGAACTAAATAGACTTGGATAACTGATTTAGCACTATGACACCGATGATTATTTGTGGTACTTGATTTGAGTGAAAAAAAATGTTGCGACTTTGCACGACTCATGTTGCGACCTTGCACGACTCATGTTGCGACCTTGTACGACCCATGTTGCGACCTTGCGCGACCCATTTTGCGACTTTGCGCGACCCATTTTGCGACTTTGCGCGACTCATGTGGCGACTTTGCGTGACCCTGTTGGACCCTCGGCCCGGAACAATTCGTCCCAATTTTCAATGGTCGGAACAGTAAACTAAAAGTTATAAGAAATGATCGCCATAGGGGAGTGCGCGGTGGATAGAAATTTATTTTGTTCGAAGCTCATACTAGGTTACCGGAACAGACGATTGCATTACCTCAAGATGACGTCATCTGGTTTCACTGCTGTATGTTGTTGGGCAGAAGACGATGAAGTTCCATCGAATCTGCTCAACTTGCGACTGATCAGCTGTTTCTGATTGTTTAGGGGTTTGTTCACCCAATGCACGCGCACTAACCCCTCCTCTTTTTGTTGGACTTGAAGGAAGGGAGGATCCACCCCAGACATGTCAGCTTCTGTCTTGTCTTCCGTGTCCAGAAGATCGCATTTCTAAACAAGGATAGACGATTGCTGAGCAAGTAGCACAAAATTTTTCGACCACATTCTCAGCTTTTTCCCCAGTTAGTGTACTTGCTTCTATGTCGTGTGATGATAGAGCTATTTAAACGCGTAGTTTAGTGAAATTTAGTGAAATAGGCATGAACGATTACGATTGTCTTCAAAAAAGTAGATAAACAAAAAAGATCAAATTTTTGTGTTCACTTTTTAGCACTAAAAACTTGAAATATTTTTGAAAGATTTTTTTTTACCAGGGAAGCGCTATATAAGGCATCCAAATCTTATTTTTTCTATTTTAGCCTAAATTGTTAATTTTTATACATAACGAACGTTACTCGATCGATTTACTCGCTCGAAAAGAGAAGAAAAATCAAAAATTTTGAACCGCTTTTTCTTGACTCAGAAATTTTTTTGAAAATAATTTAATGTCGTTTGAATCACATTTAATAATTGAACCCAGTCCGATGATTATTTCTGGTACCTGATTTTGTGTGGAAAAAAAAAAGAAAAAACTAAAACACACCTCTATATAAAGTTCCTCCCCATTTCAATGGCCGGAGCAATAATTCTAGAAAGATAGCAAATATCGACAATCATACCCTCGATAGACAATCACGAAAATTACCGGGCTGATTAGGAATTAATCCGGCTATTGTTAATTTATCAGCCTTTTGAAAATCATTAAATCAACATAAACATACCTTCAGTTGTTCCCACGAAAGAGGAATCACTTTTTCCTCCATCTCCGCTTCTTCAAAGTCATCCACCGATTCAAACTTACGGAGAGCTCGGTTCTTCCGTTTTTGTTTTTCACCCTGCCCATCTTTCGTCTGTTTGATCGTCGGCTCAAACCCCACTTTCAAATTATCCGACTGTTCCGAATGCCCCATAGGTTCCGACTGTTTTCCAGGGTTCGTAGACTCTCGACTCATAACTCCACTGTTTTCAAAAGTCTCGCTTTCAGACTTTTGACTTGAATTAATTTCAGTTTTTGACAGCACAACTTCTGAAGCTGCCATTTTAAATGAGTAAAAACTATGCAAGAAAAAGCAAAATCACGAACGAGTAAAAAGTGTGTTCATTGAAGTTATCAACTTAGACTGATTTGATCGGCTGAACCACTTTGTGAATACAAACCAGAGGTGGTCTAGATTTGAAATGAAGTTAGACTTCGCTTTTTTGTGCAAATATTAATCTGTCACTTAACTGCTTAATTTGAAATGAGTCTGATGTAATATCAAAAATTAGTTTTAAACTTTTATTTGCTTTTTTCTATTTTAACCCAATTGTATAAAAATGAAGCCGGGGATTGAAAAAAATGTCGTTACATTTAATAAATTTTAGAAGCCTGAATCCTTCGAGAGGTATTTAGTATACAAAAGTATGTTTTCAAAAACTACACACATTCTAGTAACAAGGGTAAACGGTCTAAAAACATCATAAAAAAAGTAAGATCCACGTTTTAAAAAAAGTAAGATCCAATGTTTCTCATTTTTTGCTCATTTTAATGTTGATTTTTTTTAAAGCTGACTGATTTAGGCAAAGAAACGCGAGAATGAGAAATGACAAAAAAAACTATTGGAGACCATTTAAAGCGCAGTTGCAACATTCCGGGTTATGCCTGATATACGAGCAGTCTTCTGTTAGTTTTTGAAATTGTTCTTTTTTTTCGATAAAAATTTGAGACCGCATATAGCTATTTCTGGACTATTCTGTATTTAATTAGTACAATAATATAAATTCAGTTTTTTGAACCGATTCGCATTTTTCACTAACATGTTCGTAAAGTTTGCATAATTTGTCAACTTGGTCATTTGGAGCCTCGTTTTCTTTGGTGTAAACATATCAAAAATGCCAATTATGCATATCATTAACTAGCACGTAAAAATCTAGTTTCACTAAAATAAAACATTTTTGGAAATTTTGGTGTTATCAAATTTCAACTGTAATTGTAGATTGACATGATATTGGTGTTTCATCAATGAAAAATGGGGAAAAGAATTTTGTTTTACAAAAGTAAAGCAAGCAGTTTCCATATATGCAAATTATATTATCAGCAAATTTCTAATGGCCACAGAAAAATTGTTTTTATTCTGCCTAAATTCAAAAAATTTGCAAAACAAAACTTAAACGCGGTGAAAATTGTGTTTAATCATTATATATAAACTTAGGCATATTAGATGCAAGATCGTGAAAACTTCGGTAACTCAAAATTTTGAGTATCCACGGTCTTTGCCACTTGTTTTTGCTTTAAAAAAATCATTGAACGTTCATTCAGTTATCTGAATTTATGGGTTTGTAGGTAAATTGTATGATTAGCAGTTTTCCATGCCTGGAATTTTTATTTACTGATAATCCAGCCAAAATCTGAAATTGACTAAATATAAATCTACAGTATATCTTACCATCTTATTCTTCAAGTTTTAATCGGAAAATAATCTAAAACACGATGAACAAATTAGAAAATATGGTGTTCAGAACAAAAGAGTCAATTTTTTGAGCTTTGAGCTTAAATGCCCTGTTTCTGTAGCCTAGAGACAGTTTGACAATATATTCCTGATGCTTTTAGTTGCGCTATTCGTTGGTGGCAAACAAAGAAAAATAATTACTCGAAACTGATCGAAATTCTCGCGACATTTTTTTGCAGAAAACAAGGTGGCTCGTATTTCAAACGAAAGCCCAGCACATTTCCAGCACAATGGTACCAAATAAATTTGGTAGAGACTGTGCAAGTAGCACAAAATGTTCTGACTACATTCCGACCACATAAAAAATTACAAATGAGGTTTCTTCTTTTTTGTTTCAACAAAATAGCCTCTTTTCAATGAATCCCAAACAATAAAAACTTATAAAAATTGAAAAAAATAAACTTTCTTTAAAAAAATATTCGGAAAAATTTTATTGCTACAGAAGCACTAAATGAAGTTTCCAACTTAGGTTTTATTTTAGTTAAAATCAAATAATCAGCCTAATTATTCAATTTTCGAATGAAAAACTTACTTAAACACTTGACTAGCTCGTAATTACACTGAATTTCAAAATTTTGAAACCGGTTTTTCTTGTTGTCGATACCCTTTTTTCACAATTTTTTAAATGTCAAATTACGACTGAAAGGTGTTTAAAATGATTTACCATTCGACCCATTTCCATTTTGCGTAGAAAATAAACAAGAGAAAAAGAAAATTTAAACTCAATTAACACAAAAATTCTCGCCATTTTGAATGGTCGGAACGACAATGGATAATAGTTTAAAACTTAATCAAAATGAAATAATAATTCTTCCAATTTTTGAAGAAAGTGACAGATTATTTCTGCTTAGGGTTTTTTCTCCAGGCAAATTTTGACTTTTGAACTAGCCATTTTTGAGGGATTTTTTTATCATTCAAAAAGTATTGTTGTCTTGATCTCAAATTTAAAGAAAAAATTTTGACAGTTTTTGCAAAATTATGGTGTTTAAAGGTTGCCAACACTTGAATTAATACATTTGGTTTCATGTACAAGTCAAAAACAAAGATCAGCCTAACGATTGCACTAGTGTTCAAGTTATGAATACTTTGAAACATGTAATGAAACTTAAGACTTGCTTAAAAAAGATATCGGTATCCATTGCATTAATTATATGATATTGAAATATAAAGGTTATTGGAAACATTTTTTGGACTATAAAAGAAGAAAAAAGATGGCAATAGAAGCAGAAAAACGATTACATCAGAAGTAGTAGCGTTATAAATCATGTTAAATTAGTAATAAATGATTATTTTAGAGTTTCACAGAAGCTCACACTAAAATGACAGTTTCATTGTTTATCATCCAGAGAAATCCAGTACAAGCCACTTGAGGGTAAAAAAAACATTCAAAAAAACTATTATTTTGATTGCCGAAATCGATCCGCATTAAAAACCAACCCATGCATATCTTTTCCCAAATTTCTTCGAGAGTTGAAAATTAATCTGGAAAAGAAGCCTGAAAATTTTATAGTACAAGAGTTCTTTCAATTTAACTCTACCTTATTTCCAGTTGTTCTGTTTTTAGAAGCCTGAAAAATTAATAGTGAAGGAGTTCTTTCAATTAAACTCTTCCTTATTTCCAGTTGTTCTGTTTTTATAAATTCATAGTAAAAATATGGCAACGCAACCAAAAACAATGAAAAGTTTGAAAATTATTATACAATTCGCTTAGATATAACACATAGAAGATATATTCAAAGATTTTAACAAGCAAAATCAGATAAAAAGGCGACGAAAACTTGAAATATCCAAACTGATGCCCGAGTTTGGAATTAAATTCGAAATAGCCTTTTAGTGAAGTCTGGAACGCGTATCTGAAATTCGAAAGTAGTGTGAAAAGCACAGGTCAAGAAATTCTCTGCATTTCAAAATCAGAAATAATTATTTTTGGAGTTTATTTTTGATATTTTTTGAACAAACAACCTTGGTCGCCTTCTTTGATCTCAATGAGAAGTCTTCTTCATGAACTTCTAGATGAAAATCATTTGTGCAAAAACCAAGCAGCCTCATTCAGTTGATAGTTTCGACGAAGAAAATTTCATTTATTTTTTTAACAAAACGGCAAATTTTAGCATGAAACTCCGATTATTTTAACAAAAATCAATAAAAATTTTTAATTGATTTTTAATAATTTGATCCAAAACTGAATTGAATAAAAGTGTTGAGATCAGTAATCTAGCCAGATTCAACCATTACATTGTCAGGTAATCCAACTTGCACCACGTTTTTCGAAGTTTTCTCTCCGATTTTCAGTTTTTTCTCGAAAAACTTCACTCATTGTACAAACTTTCAGCAAGAAATTTCAATTACATATTTCATCAATCATTAGAAAAAACAACATTAAAACGAATTAATCACTTATGAGAAAACGTGTCTGTACAAATCAGTCCCATACAAAACAGTCCAATACAAAACAGTATGGAAAAGTTTGAAAATGATCGAAAAAACAGTCCGGTACAAAACAGTCCAAAAAATAGTCCCAAGTATTAATTGTTTTAACAAGCCGGTAGAAAAACTTCACTCATTGACACATATATGCTTCACACATATGCTTGTTGAACAATTGTCCTTTGTTCAACAAGCATAAAGAACAAAGTAGTGAACACCATGTTGCGAGCTTGCCAACATAGGGTAGGACTTAACACGAAAATAAGAGCCGGCTATAGCCGGGAAGCTTAAACCGGACTGTTTTGCATCGAACTGTTTTTTTCCTTTATTTCAAGATTTTTGGACTATTTTGTATGGGAATGTTTTGTATGGGACTGTTTTGGATATGCACCAAGCGAATTAATGCGTTCCAAAATGAATTGACGCCAGCAAATTTATCTTTTTATCACGAAACGAGACGCTGAATTCACCCACCGTTAGTATTTTACATAGTGTGTGTCTGGGGGAGGGGGTAAAATGACGAAAAATGAAAAAAGAATTTTTCTTTTTTCTCAATTATTTTGTTGTGAAATATTCAACCAAGAAAATGTTTTCTCAATTGGCTTTAAGTGCAGTCGGAACATTCAGGGCTTTGCCCTGATATACGAGCAGTCTTGTCTTTTAATGGCGGTTTGAAAACTCTTTTGTGGCAAACTTTGGTTCATCAACGCGCAATTTATTCTCAAAATAATAATACTCGCGGAAAAAAATACTCAAAATGGCTTTTCTCAAATATTGCTTGCGGCGCAAAAAAAACGACTAATAAAATTTTTGAATTTGTTTTTAAAATCTGCCCGGCCTTCTCGAGAAAATCGCAGATACGCCCCCGGCGTCACCTAAGTACTAACCAAAGATTTTCAACGAAGTATTTCCCACCGCAATGTTTTCTGCCAATACCACTGCTTTGAGGATCTTGATATTTTCCCCTCCATAAAAAGTTGTTGCCCACCTCGTTCGCTTGACGTGTATTCTAGAATCATTATTGCAAAAATTTTATCGATCAATTGGAAAAACGAATGATTATTAATGAGAAATGAGCAAAAATGGTCAGACTATAATTGAATACTTCAAGAGTCGAGTTGTATAGTGTATAACTTTTTAAAAGACTGTTTTCTATAAAAACGAAATAATGTCTCAAAAGGCTGCCAACCTATGGTTTAACTGAGTGGT